ACAATATCTTCATACGTTTATAAAAATATCTTTATAATTATTAAACGTTGAAAACTATTATTTATAGTATATACTACTATTTATTTATAGCTCAATATGGATTAAACAAAAATAATAAAATATAGTTATTAGACGTATAACATTTTAGTTGTAAAAGCGTGTATGTAAAATACTGTTATAACTAAAATAATGTTACAGCGTTTCCGTGCTACATTAACATTTATTACAAACAGTATAAATCTAGCTAATTCTATTCTAATATTTAAATCATTTTAAGTTAAAAAGTTTACTATTCAAAAAGATAGAAATGTGTTGAAATGTTGCACTAGCATATTTTGTAAGGAAAATTAATGAAACACGAAAACGTTATAGTCATTTTCTATAACTCGAATAAAAATTGGATGATAAAAATATTTATATAAAGTTTTTGTGTCATTTTTGTAATTTTACTTTTGTCTTATTGTTAAATTAGGTCTGAAATAACGCTCACTTCTTATAAAACATTATGTAAAGTATGTAGGTATAAAAAATATATATATGGCTTGAATATGTTTATACTTGAGTCTTAAAGTTAATGTTACGTTAAAGTTATTTATTAACTTCATCGATTAATGTGCGCGCGCGCGTGTGTGTGTGTGTGTGTGTGTGTGTTGCGTTACCTTAATAAAGTTTCGAATGAGATAATATCTAACAACGTCGACAGAAAATTAAAGACGGAATTATAAGGCGGAAAGAACGTGCACGTGATACAAATACAAATATTAGATATTATCTCACTCAAAATTTTATGAAGGTGACAAAGAGTATATAAACTTGTAGAGGTACCGCAGCGCATTACTTCGAAACCACAGTACTGAAGTTGAAAAAGTCATGGCAAGTCCAAAAGATTACAGCGCGTTTAGTACAGTTCAAAGATATAGAATATCGGCTATAATTGAAGAGTTTGCCGATAATCTAGTAAAAATAAGTGGAAAGTGTATAGACATCGGTTGCGGTCCTGGAGATACAACAAAGGAATTTCTGTTACCGAGTATAAATTCCAATGGAGAAATAATTGGTAAAAGAATATTAAATTGTAAAATTATAATGTGACAAAAATCGACATTATAAATAATTATTTAATTAAATGCTTTTGCGAAGGTATAGATATTTCGGAGAACATGATTAAATATGCAAATGATAAATTTAAAGACGAAAAACGGCTTCAATTCGACACATTAAATATTGAAACTAAAAATTTACCTAAGAAATATATTTCACAATTTAATCATATATTTTCGTTTCACACTTTACAATGGTGCAACGATATCCGGTAAGTAATATACTATATAAAAAAAAAACATAATTTAAGCTAAAATATATTTAACTTTTAAATAGTAAAAATACAAAGGATTTCTGGAATTCAAATAAATCAAATAAAAAATAGGGCTATATCCTATTAAAAATTCTTGTAAGTTTTTTGTAAACTAAATCTTAAAAGAGTTGTATATGATCAATCAAGATTACTAAATGAACGTATATGATTATAAAAAAATCTTATATATAATATAATTTGTTCATGAATTTCACTAGTAATCTTTAATATCTTAAGAATCTGGAATGAATCGTACATGATAATTTATATCGCAAAAGAAGATCTTGCCTTAGTCTTATAAGCTTATAAACAAATTTTTTTTTAAGTAGTTTCTTTACAACATCATCCAAGAATATGATATTAAGAAAAAGTTTTAGTCTAGAGCTTCAATATTTTTTATCAATTTTTTTCATAAGAAAAGGAAAGAGATATCAAAATAATGCTTTTTGCATTATGTTTTTTATATTTCAATATACAAAAAAAATTTTTATTTTTAAAAATATAAAAAATTGCGGCTGTAACAATATGGGTACATCAGAGCAGCGCGTGACTAATTGGCGGAAAATCTTGAGTGTCGACAGTTTATCCGAGACAAAAAAATTAATAAAATTATTAAAATATATTAAATTTATGGAGTCATAAACCTCATTTTATTCAAAAAATTTGGAAATTTACAGAATAACAATCATTTGAAATTAAGTGTCAATTTTCACGAACTTTTTTTCATTTTCAACTTATTCAAAGAAATAGTTATTTTAGAAAATTTATTTCTATATTCATAGCCTCATAAAAACTGTCTATTTTACATGGAAGAAAACTTTATGTCGGATGATTGGTTGAAGCTGTAGAATTTCTCGCCAGTTTGAAAAATGTGAATTCGAAAAAAACGCGTTTAAAGTTTTACTTTAAGATAACAATATTTACTTTTTATTAACAATATTTTGCAACTTAATTTAATCAGCAATTCCTGACCTAATAAGTCAATTTCCCCTCCTGTTCGAAGAACAAATTTTGCTGCATTTGAGCCCTTTTTCTTTCGATTCTTGCTTGTTTTGCGCATAATATCGTTGAGCTCACTTGATTTTCGACCGATGCAAAATCCAATTGAACAAGTCATAAATTGCTTTAAAATTTTGAATATTGCAAAATCCTTTTAAAGGCACATTCTACACACTTTAGAGATGCAAAAAATGTAAAAAAAAATTAATTTTTTTTACCCTGCAAAGTAGAACTTCTCCTTAATAATTTATAATTTCTAAGTATTACATGAAAGATCATGTATCTTAAAAAATATATAATTATGAAATACCTTATCTTTTAAGTTAATGCAGGAATCTGACATAAATCGTACACGATAATTTGTATAGTAATGAAAAGATTTTAATTACTACTTTAGTTTAATAAGATACTCTTAAGAAATAATTTTTTCATATGATTGCTCCAAAGTAATAAACATATTAATCATCCCAGTAAACAAAATGGAATTATTGAATGAACAGAAACTGGATTGAATATATGAAATAAAAAAGAATTAAGAAAAATTAAAAAATTTATTAGAATACTGAAGATGAATAAATAAAAGGTTGAAATGTAAATTATCTCTAAACAAAATAAACAAAATAAATGGCGAAAAAGAGTCGTTGAATAATATATATAATTAAAGATAATAGTCATAGATACATAAAATAGTAAAACGGCGTATATTAAAATATAAAACAAACAAGTTTCGACTGCTGGATTGAGCCTTCCTCAGATGTAAAAAGAATATAATATAAAAGACATAAAAGAATACAACAAAAAAATAATAATAAATCGATAACATTCAGTAACGCAACATTTTTAAATGTTATCGATTTATTATTATTTTTTTGTTGTATTCTTTTATGTCTTTTATATTATATTCTTTTTACATCTGAGGAGGGCTCAATCCAGCAGCCGAAACTTGTTTGTTTTATATTTTAATATACGCTGTTTTACTATTTTATGTATCTATGACTATTATCTTTAATTATATATATTATTCGACGACTCTTTTTCGCCATTTATTTTGTTTATTTTGCTTATACATAAAGAGTCTTTACACCGCTGTTATTTAAATTATCTCTGTTTTAATGAACTGATAAATTATAATTTTGCTATAACTGGCGTAAGCATTTTATGCTTCTTTCTCAAATTAAGTTTAATTTAGTCGAAAAGTTGTTATTCAATTTATGTAAAAAGAATTTTATTTTAGCTAAAATAAATTCTTTTAAATCCTATTCAACTCCTTGCTTGTTCTAATCCATTTTATTTATTGGGATACGAGCAATAAATCACACAAAATTCCAATAGTATTCTTGTAATATTTTCATAATGACACTTCAGTTATATTCATACAAGATTTACGTAACATGCGCGCAAGATTCATATAACATGTGTATAAGAGTCATGTAATATGGGTATAAGATTTATGCAAGATTTTTTATTTACCTACAGATATAGGTCGTATGCGATATATTCTTATATAATCTTGTATATTCTTGTCCGAAATTCGTATGTAAATCTTGAAAGATCTTACAAGAATTTTTCATGTAAGAATTTGCAGCAGAATAGGCATCAATGCGAATTGCAAGCGCAATCAACTTAATAAGAACCCATTTTAATTAGTGACATATACATAGAGTAGCACAAATCGAAGTTATTGCAATTCTTATGGATTAAAATTCTTAATTTTTATTAACTGAACATATTATTAAACTTTATAATCAAACTTAAATTAATTATTTCTTTCAAACATATTTATGCATGTGCGTATGTATCAAATTTAGAGTAAAACTAATCAAATTCTCTGTTTCATTTAACAGACAAGTCTTCGAAAATATTTATCAAATGCTGCAACCTGATGGAACTATACTTTTGAATATAGTAACATTTAATAATGCATATGAAGTTCTCAGAATTTTGGCGCGAAACACTCGTTTTGCATCATATGTGCCTGTAATATATTATTGAAATATAATTATAATTTAATTTTTGTTTAACTATTTTTAATATTTTTATTAAACATGTTTTATAAAAAATTCCTTTTAATTTTGAATTTTTAATCATTAATTATTATTCTTAATTTTTTAAAGGAAACTATGAAAAATATTTCGCCATATCATGAGTCAAAAAATCCTCTCAAAGAGTTGAAAGAATTACTTAAAAGTATCGGATTTACAATTCATCATTGCAGTCTTCGGGAAGGGAGCTATGGCAATAAAAAATCAGAACAATTTGTCAGTAAGTTTCGTTGAGAATAATTTAAATCAAGTCGAAACACGTACGAAAGAAAATGTATGTCTAATAGAAGAAACAATATAAATTTATGTCTAATATTATACTAGCGTACGAACTACCGCGTTAATTCTTATACGTCCCAGGAATTTTTAATACTTTAATACATATGCATTTGTAATGTTTTTTAATAGATTCAATATTATCCATCTTGACATTTCTTGATAACATGCCAAATGTCCTGAGGAATGACTTCAAGAATATATTTCGACATGAATATATGAGAAGATTGATTAACTACAAATCAATACATAATAATGAAGAACATACATTGGATCTATATAAAGAATTAATAATTTATGCACAAAAGATTATATAATAATTGCATGAACATATATATCATCGTAGAAAACATCAAGAGTAGAAGATATAACATTACAGCACTAATTTATGAACTAACAAATATTTATATACTAATATTGTAACATCAATACTATTAATTAATAAATTCTTTGTAATTCACATCCTATATTGTTATATTCCATATCTAGATTGATATATATAGAATATGAAATCAAATTTTAAGGAATTAAACCTTTTTAAATAAGAATCATGTAATGTATACACATGCGTATAGTCAAAGTGTAAAGCTTTGCACAAAGCTAAACATATAAATCTTAATTATTGGTTGATAAAAAATTAAATTTATATTCTTTAAAAATTTAATATATATGTACAATTTTATAGTAATTGGAAATTAATGCAGATAAAAAAATCATTGTATCGTACAAGTTGCAACTGTTAATTATAATATCAACTTAATCCAATACTACAAAATATTTCTTTTAGTTACTTGCAAATGTAAATTTAAAATCTTAATAAAAAAATGAATTTACTTTTATTCCGTAAATAAACATACAAAATCCAATCAGCACATAATTTTAAAAAATAGTTTGCAAATATTTATTTAATGTAAAAATATTAAATAGATATTAAGAAAATGTTTGTCAAATATTGTGTGGTAATTGGAAAGTACTTAACTACAAAATATATACGTATAAGATACATACTAAAAGCAAATTAAAAACTTATATTTCGTTCTTTAATTTAAAAAAATTATTTTCTATATATTGATATTAAAACATTTAAAAGTATGCTAAGAAATACAATATATGTTAGTATGCATTCCACTTGGTATTTGCGTTGCTTATGGAATCATTTTAATTTTGTTGTTTATCAAATATTAAACAAAGAAATTATTCTTACAAGCATTGTGAATGCCAAGTACAATACTAAATGTGCTTAAAATATAAAAGATAATGAATAAAGGAAGGAGTTAAATATTGCGCATGCGTCTGATTTCAGTAGGTTGTCTGCGTTGTTAGTAGGTTCTCTAGGTTGTTATCAATCAGCGTTTAGCCGTGTTCAGCAGAAGTCAGTGTTTACTTTGCTTGCTTGTCAATAGGATTATACTTCTAGATTTAAAAGAATAATTCTATCTTATTATTAGTGAAGAAAACTTCCAACAGTTGCAAAATAAATTGTTAGTTAACATGGACAACGTTTTTAAGTGTACTAGTTTCATGAATATATATCATACATTTATCATACGTTAGACAAATAATACTACAAACAATACAACGAAAAGACAAGAATTTCCAATGGTAGCAACAACGACTTACATTTAGTTTAAATAGAATAATCTTAGCTAATATGACTATATAAAAAGATGCACATGAGCAGTAATTTCTCTGATAATTTATAAAGTACATTTTTATAATCATTCTCAAAAATAATTAATGTTTACTATAGTTTATATACATATATTCAAAATAACAATATTGCGAAGAGTAATATTTTTTTTACTTTTGACTGTCTGCAAAATTTTATACGAGTTCTCTAAAAGCTGCTGAAGTATCAAATCGTAATCAACGTTATATTCATAATAAAGGTACGTAAATTGCAACGTGATTATATAATAATTTGAACTTTCATTTTTATTATTTATTTATAAATACAATGTCCATCTTTCCGTTATAGTTTGGAAAAGAATGGCATGTAACCAAGTAATACACACACACATTGTTTTTTCTTAATTATAAAAATTTTTGTTTGATTTTTGATTCATATATAGAAAATTTTTATCCATAAATTTATAAGTAAAAACATATAAAAATTTTTATTGATTATACAGCATGTTTTATAATGTATGAGCATAACTTTAGAAACAAATTCAGGACACAAAGATAACACAAAAAATCTGTATCTGTTCCATTATTACTAAAAAAAAATAATCTTGCAGTTATAGTAAAAATTATCTACGTACAAAAAATAACTAAAATAGATAAATTTCTAGCAAGTGCTGAATACTACGATATTCGATATATATTGCATCTAATAATATACATGGAAGAGATAGAATTCAGATTTGTGCTATAAATTCTATGCATATAATAATTTTTTCTATTAAATACAAAAAACAGCTATAATTGTAGATGATGCAACAAAATTTTGTTGCGTAACAGGTCTAATAATAATACTTTTTAAACTTTTACGGATATCATCTTCAAAAATACTACAGGAGATTGTTGGTTATCGTTGTTTTTACTGATATCGATTTATCAATTTTTTTTCGTGAACCTTAACCGTTCACTTCATCCGAAACAGGACATTAATATATTTTGCTTCGAAATTGTAGCGTTTTTGTGGTTCATTAATATTTATTAAAAAGTGTATAAATATTAATGAAACACAAAAACGCTATAACTCCGAAGCAAAATGCTAAATCATAAAAGTATATAAAAGTTTAAAAAGTATTATTAGACCTGTTACGCAAAATTTTGTTGCATCATCTATAATTATAGCTGTTTTTTGTATTTGATAGAAAAAATTATTATATGCATAGAATTTATAGCACAAATCTGAATTCTATCTCTTCCATGTATATTATTAGATGCAATATATATCGAATATCGTAGTATTCAGCACTTGCTAGAAATTTATCTATTTTAGTTATTTTTCTTACGTAGATAATTTTTACTATAACTGATTATTTTTGTTAGTAATAATGGAACAGATACAGATTTTTTGTGTTATCTTTGTGTCCTGAATTTGTTTCTAAAGTTATGCTCATACATTATAAAACATGCTGTATAATCAATAAAAATTTTTATATGTTTTTACTTATAAATTTATGGATAAAAATTTTCTATATATGAATCAAAAATCAAACAAAAATTTTTATAATTAAGAAAAAACAATGTGTGTGTGTATTACTTGGTTACATGCCATTCTTTTCCAAACTATAACGGAAAGATGGACATTGTATTTATAAATAATGAAAATGAAAGTTCAAAAAGTTATTATATAATCACGTTGTAAAATAGCTAATTCTATTCAGATATTTAGATCATTTTAAGTTGAAAAGCTTATTATTCATTAAACGGAAATGTGTTGTACTAGCTTATTTTGTAAAAATTAATAAAATTTTAACACGAAAATGTTACAGTTATTTTCTGTAACTCGGATAAAGATTGGATGATAAAAATGTTTATATAAATTTTTTGTGTTATTTTTGTAATCTTACTTTAGTCTTAAATCATGGTGAAATTAGATAAGCTTTTATTGCACATAACATGGCGGTACGATCAATCAAAAATCGCTCCTAAATGTTAGTGCGACTTTCATTTTTCTAAGATGTAAAATATGTCAAATATGTGAAATATATGAAATATATATTTTAATATGATATGTCAAATATATAAAAACTCGAAAAAATAAAATCGAATCATCAAACGTTACATTCATGTCAGTTGCATTTAGAGGCGAAATGCGTGGATGCCATTATTTACGCATCTTCGAAAATACAATATCTAATTCCACTATGGTCTTAAATTAGTTCTGAAATGACGCTCACTTCTTATAAAACATCATGTACAGTATTTATATAGAGTATGTACGTATAAAATACACATATACGCGTACGTATAATATATACATATATACATATGTTTCTTGATATAATTATATATCAAATTACATTAATAGAAACACATCTAAAAAAAAAAAAATAACAGTATACATATATATAATGCAAATAATGTAAAATTTATAAGGATTTAATTTTATTTTTTTACAAAATAAATAATAAATCAAGAGCAAAGTAAGAGTCGACACAATTCTTTAAAATTAAACGAAGAAACGAAGAATATATTCCAATTAACACGAAGTAAAATTACATAAAGCAAAATTAAAATTAAAATTAAAAAATGGGACAAAGTTAGAATTCTAGATAAAGAGCCTTGCTATAAGAAACGCCTAATTTCCTAGATGCTCAACATTAAAAAGCAGGATAACAGCTTGAATTTACAAACTGACACGGAAGGTCTTCATCTAGGCATATTTGCTTATTATGGCATATACTAATAAAGTTTGACTTTGCGATATCGACGGTCCGTCTCTTCTCTCAGTCCGTGGTGATCCGTATTAGCGAGCGTACATAATAATCGACACGTAATGTCTGTCTTACATATCTGCGTTCTTTCTTTCTTTACATAAGAGTTTTTTTTTTATTCTTATATGGACATGCTTGTTTGAATATTTTAATTTATTTGCGTGTATTTTTTTTGTAAGAAGTTTTTTTATCTTTTTTATCAACTAGAGCTTTTCCAAGATATTTGTAATACATTTGACTGTTCAATCGTACGGAAATAATATCGAGTTCTACATCAAGATTCACTCGAACTGTGAATATAATGAATATGCGAACATTTGCGAATTGATTTTACTACGATATTTTTCGTTTATGTTAATGTCTGAAGAGAGCTCAATCCGGTAGCCAAAACTTGTAACTCTTAATTTTTATTTTTATTTTGCTTTATGTAATTTTACCTCGTGTTAATTGAAATATATTCTTCATTTAATTTTAAAGAATTGTGTCGACTCTTACTTTACCGTTGATTTATTATTATTTATTTTGTATAATGAGAATCCTTTAATTTTGTTAAATGTTTATTTTTTACATTTGGATGTTACAGATATTTCCAGTATTTTTGAATTATATTCTTGTTCTTAATAATGATGACCATTAATAATGATATAATAACACATTCTTATAATTCATTAAAATATATTACAAATAACAAATTACAAAGAGAAAAAGCATTTGCTATAACTGACGAATTTAATGAATATCTAAAAAATATATCTGGAAAATGCATTGACATAGGATGTGGACCTGGAGATGTAACAAAAGACATAATCTTACCGGCTCTTGATCCAAATGCAGAAGTGATTGGTAAAAAAACAATATAGCAACATATTAACATAAATTATATACGTATAATTATTACTTAAAAATTATGTATTGTAAAGTTCATTTAATAATTTTTTATCTACAGGTATAGATATATCAGAAAGTATGATTGATTATGCAAAGAAAAAATACATTAAAGAGAAACGACTCGAATTTGACGTTTTAGATATACAAACTAAAAATTTGCCTGCAAAATACGTATCTGAATTTAATCTCGTACTTTCATTTCACACTTTACATTGGTGCAATGATATCAAGTAAGAAAGATTTTTTTTAATAAAGACAATTTCTTTTATAAAAATTTTTATAAAATAACATTTATACTTAACATTGGTAATAATAT